GGAGGAGGAGGCCGAAGAGGAGGAGGAAGAGGAGGGACCCGCGGGTGGACAGGAACAGCAGCAGCGAGGAGGAGGAGGAGGCAGCGACGGCGGCAAGGGGGGGCCGCCGCAGCAGCACCGCCTCCACCACCACCACCACCATCCCCCGCACCACAACCACCAGCTCAACGGCCTCATCAGCCCCGAGCTGCGGCACCTGCGGGCCTCCCTCAAGAGCAAGATCCTCAGCTCGGAGGCTGGGGCAGCCCCCGAAGTGCTGGAGAACAAGCGAGCCAGTAAAACAATGGGCTCCGGACAGCAGCAGCAGTCGTCGCCCCCGACCACAGCACCGTGCTCATCCCCGCTTACCAACCACCTCCCTCCCCAGGGAAGGACTGCACCCTCTCCTCCTCCTTCTCCCCCAGCAGCAGCAGCAACAGGGGACAGGAGCCAGCCTGCTGCCACAGCTACGACTGCTGCTAAGACTGCAGCCCGGAATGGACTGGCAGGAGGGACTGGCTTGGAGGAGGAAGAGCAGGAGGAGGGGGATGAAGGAGGGGAGGAGGAGGAGTCACTGCTGCTACTCTCCAGGTCCTTAGCAGCTTGCAGTTTGAAAGGCTCGGGAACGGACTCTCAGCCCGAGGAGGACCTAACGATACGATACGTCCGGTATGAGTCAGAGCTGCAGATGCCCGATATCATGAGACTGATCACCAAAGATCTGTCTGAACCCTACTCCATTTACACATATAGGTATTTTATCCACAACTGGCCACAACTTTGCTTTTTGGTAAGTGCCAGAGGGGGCAGGGAGGGCAGGAATTGGGAGTGGTTTGGGGCTGGGGAGGAGAGGATTAAAAGGACTGGCATTTGCAGAAGTGCTCCTAATCATTTTTTTGTGGATAAGACCAAACCTTTCAGGAAGTTTCTGTCTTCTTAATGAAGTCCCCTTGAGACCTGTCTGTGTGTATTTGAAGCATATGCCTGAAGTTTCTATATTGGTTGATAGATGTTTTAAGTGGTGGGGAAAGGGTGTGAGCACAGGGCCAGGATCCAGGAATTCAAGACTTCTAATCCTGGTTTTGACATTGACTTTTGTGACCTTTGGTAGCTCATTTTATCATTCTGTCTCAATTCCTAGGTTTGTGTTTAGAAAAGAAAGTAGTTAGTCTTATGAGTGCTTAGTAAGTCTTGCACAATAGCTTGAAAACAGATTTCAGCATGACTAGCATGAAGCTGTTAAGTGATAGGTAGAGAGACTGTTAAAGTAGACTTGATCTACTAGCTTTGAAAAAGACAAGTACAACTGCCTTCTTACAGGTGTGTTAGTGTAGGCAGAAATTCTCAAGATTGCTGTACTAACAGTGTATTCAGTTTTTGTAACCTTCATGTTGCTCTCTTGAAAATACTGATTTAGCTGCCACCCTGTCTTTTTATGTGTTTAGTGCTTCTTATAGACACAAGAACCTGTGTCTCAAATGAGAAGTATGTTTTTAGGATGCAAATATGTCCACAGGTAGGTGAAGCTGAGTGTGAGTTGGCCTGGGGTGTGTGTGTGTGGAGTGGGAGCTTAGCTGTGCTTGACTTACTCCTATGAAAACTTAGTTCTGCAAAACAGAGCATTTATGGGAGTGTGTGGCACTTCCATCCTAAGGTAAATAAGGAATTCTTCTCTCCTGTTTTTTATCAGGAATGGGCACCTCTCTGAAAGGTAGGGTTTGGGCAGAGTCAAGACACCCTTCAATTTAGGAGTATCTCTGTGAAGATTTTCATAGGATATGAGTGCAGGAGGTGAGGCTAATGGAATCCATCTGGCCTTAGACTTCCTGAATGTTCTTGCTTTAGGGTCTGGTATGATTTATAGTGGGATTTATGTGATTTATAGAAGGATTTGCAGAACCGTGCCTCTTAAAACCCTGAAGAGGGAATACAGTAGGATTATAAGAAATTGAGCATTACCTTCTGGACCAAAATAGAAATCAGGAAAAGACTTGGAAGCATTGTTTGATGCAAAGTCATGTTTGCCATTATAAGGATGCTGATCAGAGCAGAATGGTATTTTTCAAGCCCTGAGCTTGGTGTGTGCGACTGACTTGCCTCCTTCTGAAAAGAAATGCTTGTGAACTACAAGTGTCTGTGCTTTCAGCATCACCTGTATCACTGGTAATGCCAAGGTAATGATGGATGCTGTTAGTTCACAGTGCATTTGTTTAGACTTTGAATCTTTATTTGTGGTTGTTTTTGTCAGGGAATAACTTGAAAATTATGAGAAGAGCAATGACAGAGCACTAAACCAGTTAATTTCTAACATTTATTTTTAACAAGTGCACTCAAAGAATAAGATATTGCTCAAAGTGTCTTAAGCATATTTTGTAGTGATGGCTTCTTTTTAAATAGCCTTGAAGAATCAAAAAACTTGAACTCTGTGTATTTGCTATTTTTTGAAGGGTGCAACAATGTAAGGTACCTATAACTGTAGAGAATAATATGTGGCTATGATTGCCTAAAGCTGTTAGTAAATTGTTATCTGCTTAATCATTTGATGCTCTCGCACTATGTTGAGTCAAATCTGATGGTGGTGGTGTGGTTTTTTTGTGGCTGGTTTTAGTGTTTTTAAGGTTTGTTTTTTAGAGATTGTCTTGAAGACTTTCTGATCCATAAAATTTAATATGCTCCTGCTGTTAATGGATTCCTGAACTACTTCCATCTAATAAGTCTCTTTAAAAGATTTCTCTTCAGTCAGGGACTGCATATTCCAATTAGCAAGAGCAGTCAGTGTCAGAATGGTGAACAGAAGCATAGTGCCTGATACCACAGAATCATGTTGTTATTGCCTCGTGGCTTCTCACCCTTCTGGTTTCAGGTTTTGGTTTAGATTTTAGTTGGTCTTGGGGAGAGGGATTAGACTGAAATTCAATTGCATTTGAAAAAATTAATAATCTGTAGGAGTTCAATTAATTCTTTCACTGAATTTCACCATCACCATTTTCTTAGATCTTCTAATATACCCTGTCTTTGTTGCACCTTCATGGGCTCCTTTCCTTTCTCAGCATGAGAGGGGAAAGTGCTCACACCATTTAACTCTGAAGATGGGATGTACATTTTCTGTAAGTGATCAGCAGTTGTCCTTTGCTGATATTTATTCAGTAAACTGTCTCAAACACCATAATTTTGCTATCTTGCACTTTTGGATACCTGACAGTGCAGAGCTGTATTTTGGGGGCTTTAGTAAAGTTATTCCTGTTGATGATTGTCTCACAGCTTTGCAACTTACTGAGTTTTGGCTTGCCCTCCCCAAGCTGCATTATTGGCTGGTGCAACCAAAAGAGCTCCTTGCTTTTCCTTCCTCTTCAGCTTCCTCTTCCTGGCTCTTGCCAGTCCTAGTGTTGCTCTGATTTAGGAAGCTAACCTAGCCCTCCCACCACCACCATGTATTTGTAAGTGTGTGCGTGTGTGTTTTAGGGTCAGATTCCTGTTGGTTTAAGCACCTCTCCTATCAAGACAGTCTGAGACACCTGGGGTTGTGCAGCCTGGAGAAGAGAAGGCTTTGGGAGACCTCACAGTGGCCCTTGAGTACCTATAGGAAAGCTGGGGAGGGACTTTTTCAAGGGCTTGTAGTGAGAGGACAAGAGGTAATAGATCCAAACTGAGAGGGGAGATTTAGGTTAGACATCAGGAAAAAATTCTTTAGTGTGAGGGTGGTGAGGCACAGGTTGCTCCAAGAATCTGTGGCTGCCCCATCCCTGGAAGGGTTCATGGCCAGATTAGATGGGGCTTGGAGCAACCTAGTCTGGTGGGAGGTGTCCCTGCCCATGTAGGGGGGTTCGAACTAGGTGATCTTTAAGGCCCCTTCCAACCCAAACCATTCATTCTGTGATTCTGTGATGTCCCAGGCACTGGTGCAAGGGAAGAGGTGAGCATGCACAGCTGGAGGGAAGGCACAGGACCAGGCCCTGCTAGCCTTTAGCATGACTTTGCTGTGTCAAATCACTTCCTAACTGTATACTCAAAGAAGTTTATATTCTGCTTTAAAAGGAGCTGGAGACACTAAGAAAATTGAGAACCTTTTAATTTTAATGCCAGATTTGTCTGTGTAACTGTCTTCCTGACTTTGGAGGTAGCAGTAGCAGGTTGGGAATAGTTGCTGATCAGTTCTGATATGTTAGTTGCAGATGATCTGATTGAGCTGTGCAAAGTAATAACCTTTTCCTCCATAAACTGCAACTGCTTAAACTCAGTTGTTGCCTGTCTTTGGAAGAGCAGGTTCACAGTGCATGCTAGGTTTGGATGCCTATATAAATGCCTGTTTTTTACTTACTCCCAGGAGCTCTCTCAGCCCAGAGTCTCTTCAAATCACCTGTGATAACCACTCCTCTGTCACAAAATGACAGAAGAAAGAAGGATCTTTTGCTTCATGTGAAGCATTTTTAAGCATTGCTGCAGCTTTGTCCCCACACAGATTATAAATTCATCTTCAAAGTTGTAGCTTCCTTGGAGAGTGTTTTTGCAGCTTCTAGTCTTAGCAGTGTAAAAAGTTCTACAACTTCAACTTAAAACTGATACATTAAATGTATCAGAAGATTGTTTACAAAATATATTAGCGTGGGAGAGGTGAGCTTAGGAAACCCTGCTCTGTGCCAAAGTTTGGATTAGGCAGGATGTAATAAAGGCAAAGTTCTGGCTGAGTGTTGTAACCTCTTCTGTAATTCACAATACCCACCACTCAGCTGCCTTTTAAGCAAAAAATCTGTTCTTTCATTGGGTTCTTAACTTTGCCACTAGCCATAGCAGCATTTGTAATGTAAACTTTCACAAGTTTAAAAATAACCTATTAATTCCATGGAAGTGGTTCTAGATGTGTTGTAAATCCTAAATGGCTGCAGCTAAGATCTTATTTTACAGTAATGCTTTGCCTTGTTTTTTTTAATTGAATTTTTATTTCAGAGTCTGAGTGTACTTCATATTGAAATTAAAGACTTGTATGACATCACCCCTGTTTTTCAGTTGAGGAAAACCTGGGGTGTAAAAGAAGTACCAGAAAAGTTAGGAAACTATTTGAGGAATCTTCCTAGCCTCATGACATATGTAGGAAGAAAATCTGTAACATCCCTTCCCAGCCTGCAAACTCTGTTGGTATTCCAGTTTCCTCTTCGGGGTGAGGGTGGTTTCAGATACAGGTTTGCTCTGCTACTTCTCCCTGTCAGAGGCTTTGTAAAAACTTCAGTCGTTGCAGCATCTGAGTAAGAGCAGCTTCTGTAGTTATTGTGGCCAATTCCCTTGCACAGGAGGGAATTCCTCGTGTCCAGTTTCATGGAGTGGAAACAGAGCGACTTAGTGATTTGCCCAGTCTCCTAAAGAGCTCTGACTGAACTGCCAGACTTTAGGTTAAAACCATTAGCCTAAACATATCCTCTAATGGCATTCAGTAACTTGATCACTAAGTGTAAGCCAGAGGATTCACGCAGAGCTGTTCCTGTGATTCTTTGGAATGGATTTTGGTGCGTGTGCACAAGGGAAGCTGCGTTGCAGTGGTGCAGGTTCTGCTGCATTTGCATGGCAAAATACTTCTCTTTCGGGGGATAGTTGGTTTATTCTTCTATAAATGGGAACAAATGTCACAGGATCTGGATATGACATTCATACTCAGGCTATGGCTGACAGACTTAATGCCATCTTTGCTAATTAAATTAATGATGATTGTTTAATTTTTGAAAAGTAATGTTCTTGCTGATTTACAGACATTTCTGTGCTAACTCTTCTAGTAATACATGGTCGCAATACAAAGAGATTAAAATCCAGTTTGTTTTAAACATTTAAAATTAATTATAAGAACAAAGGTGATGCAAATATTGGATTTGAATTCATGTGTGTTAATCCTGCTAATGACTTACAATTGAAGTAAACTCTGCAGGGTTTATAATGTTTAATAGTAACTTGGACTGAATTCTGTTTGCAGAAACTTGTATGTTTAGAAGTACTCTCATATAACTGAAAAGAAAATTTGGCCTATTATTGTCTTTTCATAAATGGTGTTGTGTGGGAAATACTTGTTCTCTCTCCTCCCCACTCTCCCTGTTTCAGTTTGTTTTGTTTTATTTACACAGTTTAACCTTCTCTAGGGAATTAAATTACAAAGCTTTACATTGCACGTTGGGTTCATTTCCAGCTTTAGATAAGGAGGAGAAAGGAGAGGAAAGGCAACAAAAAAACCTTCAAATTGGGGTGGAAATGCAGCACTCCCTCTGTTAGTGGAACAACCATAGATTAACTGGCAGACTTACCTGCCTCAAGACAGAGAAAGAGATGGAAGTGTTTGGGGAATTGGTAACAAAGTCATACTTTATTCAGTTCTCTGGCAGCAGTGGTAAAACCAGTGGGTACTTGCTTCTTTGATCACTGAAGCAAAATTCTTTGCTGTTCATTTAGCATTTTAAATATATGATTAATGAACAGAGCTTTTCTGAAAAGTGCCCTAAACAAGAACAGACACAGATACGCAATGTCTAGAATATCACTGCTCTTGGAGTCTGTAAAAAATATATCTTAAAAATTCTCTGCATGACTGTTACGATCAACAATTTGCACGTGTTCACTTCAGGGCAAAGCATAACTATAACATGCTAGTTTGTGGTCTGTTTTTTTTTTTTTTTTCAGTGAGGTATAAGATTACATCTAGGTACTCTGCATAATTATAGCAGTGTTATGAGCAGTCTGTCTGATGATACTCTTTATTTAACTCCCTGGTTTTCTCAGGTCTGAGCTGAGATACAAAACTTGCCTTGAGCTGACACTTTACACAGTTTTAGGAGAAGTGCAGCTTTTTGTTTCTCTGGAATAAACTGTGTTTTAGAACAAATAAAAGGCTGCTTAGAGGCCGTGTGTTTCAGTCCGTTTAGTTCATGCTGCAGCTTTTGTTTTAAAACCCACTTGTTCAGATTGTTCAGGGTTGTTCTTAGATACTGCTAAAAAATGTGGTTTCCTGCCAAATAAAAACTTAGCAATAATTATATTTGCTTGATGAGCTTAAACTATATTAGAAGTGCAGTTAGGATCATGCTGTATCATAGAGCTTTGGAATTGCAGGTGATACATTTTGAACTGCTTCATTTCACATTTGCTCCAGCTAGTGTGGTTAATAAACCACCATCCAGGAAGAGGTGCTAGAAGACATTTTTCTTCTTGGGGCAAAAAAACCTGTGGGTCTGCACCATGAATGAATCTTCTGTCCTCAGAGTCTAAAGCTACAGGCTGCGTACAAAAGGGTACTGGTATTTGGAAGCTATAGGTTATATACCATAGATTTTGGGAAAGTGAGCACTGAGTTCATAGGTGGGCTGCATTGAGCCCTGGCAATACTGGCAAGTCCTTTTTCATTTGACATGTCTTAGTGTTGTAAATTTGGATTATCCAGGAGCTCTTGTGCCAGCACGTGCTTGTGCCAATCATGTGCTCTCGTCTCTGTTTAGTTGCTACACTTGAGCTGAAGGCTAGTTCCCCCCTGCAGATACAGGTCTGTCAGAGTCTCTGGATCCACTTAGACACCCATATGTACAATTATGAGTTTCTTTTTTATCTCTGTCAGTCTTTCCTGAATGAACAGTAATTCATTCTCCCTTTGGATGCTGTCCTGCTCTGCAGCATTATTCGCCTTTACTGCTGCAGGTTATAATGTCATTAATCTCTCATGCTGCCTAATCCTTCAGTTAACATATGACTTAATGTTTCTTACCCTCTTCTCTTCTTACACTCTTAATACATTTCATGGTAAAATTTTGCTTGGTGAAGTGGTTGTGTAAAAATAAGTATTTGGGGAGTAGTTTGGGTATTTTTTTTTTCTCTTTAATAATCTAGAATAACTACATCCCCTTCCTTGACCATGCTTTTTGTGACAACACCCTGGGGTTTAACTGGCAGTGCCTAGCTCTGAACAAATGAAATCTCTGAACAGTTGAAATGTGTGAAATTAGTTGTGTGCTTTTTTTTTGTTTATTCTTTGGGTGTCATATGACTGAAAAGAACAGTTTCTGAAGGTTAAATGCAGCAATGTTTTTCTATGATCCATTGTGGCCTTGACATTAAAACCAGACAAAAATTAAGTGTGTTATCTACCACATCCCTCGTACATAAAAATTCAGACTGCTGTGAAAGAGGAATGGAGTTTTTTCCTCTGCAACAGCCCATCTGAAGAGGTGATTTATGCTTTAACTTGGTCTTTTTTATTTTTTTCCCCTTTTCTATCACGCACGTTCTTGTCTGTAGACTTCATGGAATAATACTGTGCTTCTCTCTAGGACAATTCATTGGTTGTTAACTGACTGTAACTTTATTTGAATGTAATAAAGAATTAAGAATTATTTAATCTTATTTATACTTTTGCAGATACTTTTAAACATTTCTTTTCATTTTGTTTGGGTTTCTTTTTTTTTATCGCTTTATGCAAACAAATTTTATGTGGCTGTTTCACTTAAAATGAACTGCTTTACTACTTTTGGCAGCACTGTAGATCACAAACTGAGAATGCCTACGTGTATGTTTGTCTTTAAGGCCATGGTAGGTGAGGAGTGTGTAGGTGCCATCGTCTGCAAGCTGGATATGCACAAAAAGATGTTCCGCAGAGGTTATATAGCCATGTTAGCAGTGGATTCCAAATACAGAAGAAAAGGAATTGGTAAGAATAGCCTCTTTTTTGTTGTTGTTGTTATTTCTTACTTAAATCCTATAGTCATAAAGATTTCAGCAGAACTGAACTTGTAGACGTGGTGGTTGGTCTGTCAGCCTCGCCTCAACCACACAAGCTCCCCAGTGGCTTTTATAATGTTGTTTAAATAACCTGAAATGCTTGATGGGGTTTACATATGGGAAATGATAAAGCTAAAAAGAGAGGCAGTGAGCAGCCCCTTGCCTCTGCCTATTGCCATTGTCAAGTGGCAACAGTGGGAATTGCTTTGCCTTTTAATGTGTGCCCTCATCACTGTATTTCTCTGCTATGTTCAGTTTATCTTTTTTTCAGTGAACTTATCCCCTGGCTTTCCCTTATCAATTATGCATATATTGCCCACTGGGGAGAATGTATGTAGCTCATTGTTGGATTAATAAGTGAAGAAAAGTAGTTGTGCATTGCTACTTGAATGATTGAAGCAGAGATCTGCTTTGTTGGGAAATAATGTGATAAAGAAATCACTCCTGGCAGGGAGTTTGCCCTCTGTCTTTGATCAGTTTTGTCCTAATAAAGGGATTTTCACTCTAACACCAGTTACCCTAGTTGGCTGAATTAAAGATTTGTTCTTATGGAACTTAATTATATTTTTAAAAATTTGTTATTGTCTCATATTTTGTAACATTTTTAACTTAAAATGTAGACATCAGCTTTAAAGGCTGGAAATGTGCTTCACTACTCATTCACACTGAACAGGTCATACTTCTGTGATTACAGACAGAAAATTACTTGCCGTGGAAAAATACTGTAATACATTGCAGAATGGTACCATTGTTTTTGTTCTTTTCTTAAGAAAAAAAAAAACCCAAACCAACCAAAAAACTCAAAGCACTACACATCACCACGACTATTCAAGCATGTGTGGATTTTTTTTTTTCTGCCCTCTTCAGTGCAATTCTGAAGCCATTATTGGTTTCTGTAGTGGAGCAAAGGGAAGAGGATTCTGAGAAATCACTCTCTCTCCTTTCCTTTTAGCTGAGTCATGAGGGAGCCTGCCATAATTTAATTGCAGGTGCTGGGATTCGTAAGCAAATAGGAGCTAATGCTGTTGTTATGAAGATCTCTGTGAGATTTTTCTCTGGCTTTAGTCAGTGTATTATTTTAGAATTATATAAATAGGATTTATATTTAAAGCCTCGCTTGCTTTAGCATTATGTATGCTGACTTTTTCTTACACTTTGCCACCTTGCTGTTTCTCAAAGTGTGCTGTTAATCTGAAGGTTTATTTTCAATGTACAGTTTTGTTGTACGTTCAACAAAAATCTTAATTGATTAAAGTTTTGAGAATACTTTAAAACATTCTCTAGATTCCTTGGGGTTTTTTTTCCTTTTTCTTAGCCTCACATGGAAGTGAGATTTATGCAATTTCATTGAACAGCAGTTTTTTCCACTAATAACTTTGAAATCAACTTTCAATTTCACCCCAATTCTACAGACAGGTAGGGATATTACGTTTGTAGAACTGTTGTGAAATAGATGGAAAATAATGATAAAGCAGTGAGGTTAGGGGTGAGCTGCCGGGAACGGCGTGGGGTCTTCGTTGTCTATGGCGGTCTGCAGGCTGATGTTCTTCTCCTTGAAATCAACTTTCAATTTCACCCCAATTCTACAGACAGGTAGGGATATTACGTTTGTAGAACTGTTGTGAAATAGATGGAAAATAATGATAAAGAATTAAGTTAATGCTTGACTTGAGGGGAAGGGATGGGCTTCATGTTATTAGATACTAGCAAATCCAAATGAGAGCGAGCCACAAGAAAAGTGGTTTCATAAGCTCTGTTACTAATAGAAGTATTTGTTTTAGTAAGAGGAAATTCCCTTGGAAGATGAATGTCCTTCAAGGATGTGCCAGCAGATTTTGACTTTAAATGCAACAAAAAGGAATGAATCACATCTTGGAAGGCTATATATAACACTGTGTTAAACATGGAAGCCTGTTTCTAATATCCTGGTGTTAGAAGAATCTTGTGCTCAAGCTGAGTCTCTGGATAACTTTACAGATTTATTTTTTTTTAGTGTTCAAACTTGAGACTGCAACTTGACCACAACATCTTGTTTGTTTATTTCTTTCCTTCCTGCTTTTCCTCAGGTGTCATGTCATGTAGGTAGCACATGTTAGTCATATATAAACTAGTATCTTTTGCCTTGCAACTCTGACACTTACTGAAATCTATATTGCAGGTACAAACTTGGTTAAGAAAGCTATTTATGCTATGGTTGAAGGAGATTGTGATGAGGTAAGACTTTATAATCAAACACTTTCATAATGTAAATGGTTTGCATTCTCCAATGTATGGATTTATTTAACAGGTTTTTCTTCCACAGGACTTTTTTTTAGGTGGGGAGTGGGTTGGGAAGAAGCTATTCCTTTTCTAATAAAAGGAAAAACAACCTCAGAAAAATGGATGGCAGAAATAGGAGAAGGATTTTCTAAGTTGGTCCTAAGGGCTGAAACAGGGTGCTTCAGGTTTTGTTTTACTTTGCAAAGCTCCCTCAGCCTTAACAGGCAGACTTTCCTCCAAAGGCTCTAGTTAAGGTGTTACTGACCAGGGTCACTTGCATGTTTGTGTACTACCTCCATACTTTCAGAATACACAGTTAGAGGAACAGTGTGTGCTGTAGTATTGCAGAAGATGGTTTTATCACAGCAAGTCATCAGGCTGTGCTGTTAGTGCAGAGCTGTACCTCTTGGCAGTAACAGAGCTCTCATGATTTAGCGTGTCAACAAAAAACTGGAAGGAAAATGACTATCAGTCTTTCCTTTTACTAGATTACAGTCTGTGCTTTATATGTAATAATATAAAAGCAACTAAATATCCTTGTTTGTGCCACGTTTAGGACATTCCCTGCATCCATTCTCCTTAAGCTGGTTGTGTGTCCCTTTAACTTTCATCTCACTTGGCACAGTGTTCCTGACATGTGAACACCGCGGCGTTCCAGTGTGTCATAGCTAAAGATCCTTTGATCTCTCTCTGTTGCCTCCTTTCAACTGCTCCCTCAATTGTCCAGCTTAGGTGTGGTGAAGTTTCTTCTGCAAAACTACAACTTATGCCATAGGATTTCTGACACATGCTCTGTTTATTTTTCCATCCCTGCTAAGCCTCTTGCAGTGTCCTTGCATGTGTTCTGATTTCATTCATTGTTTGAGATGCTTATTCTTCCCTTCAGATTCCTTCATGCCTCTGCTTATTGGTGTCTTCCCCCCTCCCTCTATAATTTGTGGTCAGGCAGTACAGTGCAGTCTGATAGTTCTCTAATTCTTTTAAGTTCTGTGTTTTGGCTTGTTGCAACTATCATTGTGTACAATGTGCTTTGCTCTAATCTGTTGCACTACTTGTTCCTGAATTGATTTGCCATTGCTAGAGTATTCCAGATAAAATAATAATAATAACTGGGGACTGATAGCACACTCTTCACATCACAGCTGGAAATTTGAGATGCAGACAAATGAATTGCCTGCTGTTGGTAGAGTCAGTAGTAGAATGGGCTGTTTCTACTCAAGCTACTAGAGTTACAGTAATTACCGTATGATTTGAGTCCATGTACTACTACCCATGTAACTACATTTCTAAATTGGGCTATCTAACAGGTTTACACATAATGATCTCTCCTGTGTTTTTTTCTACTGCTGTAATATTAGTCCAAGAGTCCTTCTTTACTCTGTTTTTATCTGTACAAATGAAATAAATGTGGTAAGGGTTGCAGGCTGGTCTGCAGAGAGCCCTCATTAAGTTTTAGTCACAGATTTTCATCTGTGGTGCTGTATAAATGCTTTATACAGGGTGCAGAACTCTGTTGCTTTCCCTCTTTAATCAAATGTGCTCAAGTCCAAGCTCCTGGAAGTGGGAGCTGGACAGGTGCAGGCATGTTTCAGTTCCAGTTTGGAAACTCTGTAGTTGTGTTTGTGGGATGATGATTCTGAACTAATTATGCCCTGCTTCTTGGGGGCTTTTGCATCAGCCGAGTCTTGCGCTGGCACAGAATTTTGAAACAGGAGCTCATCATGCCCAGGCAACATGGAGAGCAAGCAGAGTAGATTTCTGACTTCTACACTGGTCAGCAGAGGCACACCCACCCTGGTTCGATGCATTTATGTAGTTCCTTTTCAGGTACAGGTTATCTACATAAAATAGCCAGTGTTATCATCCTTTCTTCTTTTCTTTGCCAACAAGTGTAGGTGTCTTCCAGATATACCTGCTCTGAATAATGGTGTTGGTTACTTGTACAGCATGGTAGATTGCAGAGTTTTCAGTCATGACCAGAATTTGAACAACTCAACTCATCACCCATGAAAAGCTCTGACAGAGTCAAGACTCACTCCCCTACCAGTTTTTACAGCAGTTGTTGGGAGAATGTTTCCTGACTGGCTGACTGATGCCTAGAGCTGATCAAACACGAAATAGTGCATCACAGTGATTTATCTTAATGGGGTGTGTAAATAGTTTCATCATCTCTGCTGCTTTTCAGATGTTTTTCTATGTCCCTTATTAAAATCAGAAGCAGGATGAAAATAAAAAAGATGCTGTTTCTCGATGGAAGATGAACTGCAATTAAAAAAAAGAAAAACAAACCTCTTTTCTGAAACTTGTTTGGAACAGGATTAAAAACATGAATATGCAGCTGTGGGTGTCATGAAAAATTTCCAAAGGCTGCTTGGATACTCTTCCTTTCAATCTAATTATGGAATAAATGCAGTAAATGTACTTAATTTTAATAACTTGTGCCATATAATCTCATAAGTGCTTTGTTCAGAGTGTTGCTTTTCAAAATACTGTAGATTGGACTTTGGAGCTATCAACGTTGAGTCCTGAAAAATATTTATACAAGACCATAGATGAAAATCTTGAAAATTCACTACTGGTGTGCTGACATTTCAAAGTATGCTGCAATATTTTAGTGATCAGGGACATTTTTCTTTTCCTGCCAGCTAATTTAGTAAATAAATTAAGCCAGGCCTGTGCAACAGGAGATTTACAGTGCAAGCTGCTGTGGTCAGTCAGCTGCCTAAGAGGTAGTTTATGCTGTATGCTATGTTTTGAAGCTGAGAGGCAATATCCTTCCACCCAGGGGTTGTTTCCCAGCTGGAGGAAGCTGTGGGGTGAGTAAGTGAATAAGTGAATTGGCTGGGGTGACATCTGTGTGGAGGGGAGGAGGTGGCCATGAAGCTGACCATGACCTGTGTTAGAATAGAAACAAGGGAAGTGATCTGATGTTGGGGGTGGGTGGTTGAGCTAGAAATAACCTTCAAGCCTTAAGAAAGTACTCAATGGCATGCTTTGAGCTGGAGTCTCTGGATATAACATTACAAAACTTGAAGGATCTTTGATTTTTATGTTTGTTTTACCTTGGTTACTTTTTCAGGCATTTGATGTCAATGAATTCTAATATTTGAGGTAGCTGAAGGTTTTCAGTTATAATGGCTGAGTTTCCAATAGGTCACAAAGCCTTAGAATAACCTGATGGGCTGGTTGCATTGAAAATATGAACTATGAAATTAGATTAAGAGTTTTTCTCCCATCTCCAAAGTTTTGAAGATACTGTTCTTCCAGTGTGAAAAGGAAAATATGTGCTAACGTCAGCAAGTTGAGCATCTGGATGCTTTTTGTACATCTGCTTAGTTTTTACTGACAAGCAATTCTCAAAAAATTGTTCTGCTTAAGACCTTCATGTGGAACTGTTACATCCCATAATCATAATTAGAAAGGAGGAGTTGTTCATTCATACTTAGGTTTTCCATCTGTAACAAATCACTGCAAGTAATCTGCATATGATTCATTCACTTCATATTACTGAAATAATTTACCATATAACTGGTAACTAATCAAAATAAGACTCTAGTAAGTGGGACTTTTAAGAGCTTTTCTAAGCAAAATGTAGAATGTGAAAAGGAGTTGCAGCTTCTCATGAGAATTTTCATGGAAGCTTTAGGGTTTTTTGACCACACAGCAGGTGTAATTTTAATCCAGTACCACACTTGTAAAAATCAAAAGCATATTTTTATTTAATCCTATTTGAAATTATGAAACTATTGTCAGCTTTTTCTTTCTCTACAAATAATCTAAAATAGGAAATGTTACATTTTGGGTGCTACCTTCCTTTAAAAGTAAAGGTTGTTAAACTGTTTAAGGACACTGGAAAAACATCCCTAATTTCTATGACTTAGTTTCTAAATTTGAGTTCATCAAGAGTTTGAAGTGGAGAAGTAAGGAAGCTTGACACCCCATTTTGCTTCAATTTAGGAATAAATTCTAGGTAATAACAAGAAGCATTGCACTCTACTCTCATAGAAGATTTCCAGTTAAAATCAGAGATTTGATGTAAAATGATTTGGTTTACAAAATTTAAGACATAAGAGAAAGTAGTAGGCTTCAGAAATTGCAACTTGTGCAGAAAATGCAGTTTAATCCAAGCAGAGCTTTTGTGGTCTCTAGGAGGGGATTTGATTGTGTTAGAATATTTAACAGGCAAATGTGGACAACGAAATACACCCGGTGAGACCACAGGTAAATGTAATGATTGACGGTTTGGAGTTTGATTGAAAATCTCACACAGGAAGTGATGAATCCTTCAGAAAATGAAGCTAATGAAATTTGGATAAAATAGGAGTTTCTTATATAGATAATAGAAATGTGTCTTTAACTGTTTGAGATTAACGAAGCGTGTTGAGATCAGGACATTATTTTTCATCCTGACGTGTCTTCCTTAGAAATACCAAAACAAATTTCTTGCATTTGCTTTCAAGATGAGCATTCAGTCAGGTAAGGGGATTCCAACAAACCTGAATTTCAACATTTAACCACTCCCTTGAATTCAGTGACCTGCAGTGTTGGAAGTCTTAGCATTGCAAGGTGTGTGAGCTTGCAGTTGAACGCAAGACTTGTTGTATCACCCTGCTAGGTTACTCAGCTTTGAAATAATAGTCTCCTGTACTGAGGATTTACATGGGTCAAATTTCCTCTTTGGTGTAATGCTTTGTTTTAATTTGAATTAAGAAGTTGTACAGTATTCATAATTGTGTAGAAAACGGCACTCTTCAAGAAAGCTATTGTGCTTCCAAAATTTGTTATACATTAAATTATTCATTTTAATGGATTAAGGATGTTAAGAGTCCTTGATCAAGTCAGAAGACTTGATTAGTAGTGCTCTGTGACATGCCAGCTAGAGAAATTCAATCTCTGATTCTTGCCATAAGACTAAGAGTTGAATTAATTTGTCTTAACTCTGCAGGCACAACAGAGTGTCCTGCTGTAATTTAAGAACTCTGACTATTAATATTTTAATATGTGACTCAGTTCCTTTTCTGAAAACTTACTTCAGAGTCGTAAGTTGTTCATTGGGTTGTTAACTCCAGGTTTACTGTTCTTTCAGCATTCTTAGACTGAGAAGCATAGGGGAGAGTTACCCTTCGCAGTGTAGTTACAGTAGCTTGAAACTTGAGGAGTCATGGTGAAATGTATGAATTAAATGGACTTTTAAATCTTACTGAAAGTGACCAGACTAACTCCTGGCTGCCTCCCTCTTTTACGTTGGCTTAGCCACTCCTTAGGCTGCAGGAAACAAACCTGATGGAGAGAAAAAGGCAAGGTTTTCTACCAGGTTGCTTTTTGAAGGAGCTCAGCCACGAGCCTAGTGAGCTCCTAGCCAGCCTGAAGGCAGTAGAGCCACAGAGTCCATAAAGCAAGTTGACTTAAACTGCTCTTCAAATAGAGACTAATATTTTGTTCCTGGTTTTAAGGGGTAGGGGGATGTTAACCAGTTCTCCTGCTTTTTATTGGAGAATGGAGTCCTGGGGTTTGAAGTGGGGTGGATGACTTTTTTTGGACAAGAGAATACTACACAGAGTGGGTATCAACTGCTGGTTTAGAAATAGCTGTTAGTGGACTGAACACCAGCAGTGATCACTGGTTTGCTGCAGAAATTGCTTAGGCTGTATTTTCATTATATGTTCTTTCTACAGTGTCCATCAGCTCTTGTTTAATATGTGAATGAATGTACATTGTCATGGGACTGTATGTAGTCTAGTCAGCTTATTAGTTCAGCCTGTGTTCTTGTGCAACCCTGAGCTGTCCTTCATAGCAGAATCCTTAAATAATTGAGTTGGACAACAGTAAAAGAGGCAAAACAAGTTTTTATTGATTGGAGTGGGTGCCTGGCTCACCAGGTGTGCCAGAGCTCTGCAGAAGAAAATTTCCCCTCAGAAAAGAGGGGAAGTCAATTCAAAGGGACACGCTTGAGCAGTTTTGAGGTTAACGTTTTGTTCACACTAATGTAGGAGTTTTTTTGTCTGTATTTGAGACTTCTGGGGCAAGTTTGGGTCTTTGCTTGGTTTGGACTAATCTTATTCTTGCATTTAGCCTGAGCTACTTGTGACAGGTCTTCTGCAAATGGGATCTTATCAACACAGGGGAAAAAGCTGCTCTTTCCTCCTGGTGTACACTTACCTTTGAGTTTGAGGTACTTGGGTTGAGCACAGATACTTATTGCCAACATTGGCTCTGACAGCTAGGCTTGTATCTAGGTCTAGATCTATGTCATTAGAGGTCAAAGGTATTAAATGACTAATCAAAACTTCACATGCCAAATTCTTGTGACATGCAACAGTTCATTCAAAATTCAAAGTGTTTTTGATCTTAACCTTGTTGATAAGTTGGTTTTGGGGTTTGGTTGATTGGGGCTTTTTTTGGGCAGAGGTGCTGGTTTGTTTTTTTTGTTTGTTTCTTTTTTACCCTACCTATTAGACAACGAGTTGAAATACTATTTACAGCAAAGACCTAAAACCTTGATGTGAATGAAAGTTGTTTACAATTGTTTACTAACCACTTTTTTCTTCTTTCTTTAAATGTGGGAATGGAGAGGGGTTGCTTGAATAGGTCAGGGCAAGAAAAGATTCATTCCACTCATTGCTAATAAGTCAGGATAATTAAATAATTCCGCTCACGGATAATAAATGTGCTTTAAATAAATGTTTCTGAATTTCTTTTGTGTAATAAAAACTGCTTTCTAACATGCTTTTTTTTTCTTTTTCTTGAAAGGTTGTATTGGAAACAGAAATCACAAATAAGTCTGCTTTGAAACTTTATGAAAACCTTGGCTTTGTGCGAGACAAGAGGCTGTTCAGATACTATTTAAATGGAGTTGATGCACTGCGTCTTAAACTATGGCTGCGTTAAGAGGAACCATCCCATCCAGCAACTGACGTCCCAGCAACGCAGAGTTGTCCTTTGCGTGCGATGCAATTTGTCCAGAATTGCTTTTGCAGGTGGACTTGGGTCATTTCCATGCAGCTCTTTTTCTTGTCAGTGTCTCATTGAGTGTCGCACACGTTTGTTGCACTTTGGCATGGCGCGTTTGTTTGAGAATTAAAGCCGGTTGTTGCAAACTTCGAGTCGTTTTGGTACCAGGAGGATGTGCCAGTTGATAGCCAAGATATTGTTCATTCATTTGCAAGTCTACTGACTGTATCACATACACAGTGAACATTTTATCAAAGAACCTGTCTGTGGAACAATACTTTTGGTTCCAGGGAAAACAACAACAACAAAAGCCAACATAGATTGTAAAATTCTAGAAGTATACTAACATTTCATACAAAAATTGCCATAGTTTTCTGGAAAAACAACAACAAAAAAGGCTTCAATTTTAGGTTTTATTTTTCAATATTGAATTTTTCCATTCTTAAATATTGGTACCTCAGTGATTAGTGAATGAAAAAATGTATTGTAGGGTGGGGTGTGTGTTACAATGAGTAACAGTAACAGTTAAATTGCGTCTGCCAGTGCCTGTATAGATAAGTATATTTGTCTTCACCTCTAAGTTGGGAGTGCATGCTTTTATTCTTTTACTTTCTTCAATTGTCTTTGCAAGAAAATTTTTGCTTTTATTTAAATTCTGGATTTGATAATAAATTATTTCAGATTTTTATAATTTGGATACTCCTCCCAGGCGAGGGTTTGGAAGGCCCTTCTTTTCTTAGAGCAAGAAGTGTAAGCTATTTTGAAAACCTTGAGTAGCTGCTAAAAGAGAACCTGATGTCACCAGTACATCTCTGCTGGTGTTGGATGCACTTTTTTTCATTAAAAGAGTGAGGGACTTTTAAAAGAAGTTGTAGGCAATTAATGTAAATTGGTATGATTTTATTTAATCAAAATTATTGCTAGAAGCTCTGAAAAAACCCAGCTATTTAAAGATAGTTGGAACAATTTTTCAGATTCAGATTGCTTTGCTTCAGTGTTCTAAAATGCATCAATCTTTGGTTCTTGGTCTTGGAAATAAATTTCAAGGTGTATTGTATCCATTTTTAGCTGCTCTCATTTTCTCTAAACTTACATGAGCTAAATTACTGGGGGATTTTTTTTTTTTTTCCCCTCTAAAATCAAAGCAGTGGGGAAGGACTTTTCTCTCTCCCTTTCTCTCTCTTTCTTTCATTTGCTCTTGCTCTGTTTCTCTTTTTTTTTTTTTTTGTCCTTTCTTTAATTGGGATAGGTTTTTACCAATACCCATCCATTTTTTCAGTAATGGCAGTGTCTAGGCTTTCTCGTTCCGTGTGATTCTATAGCCCAATTCTATGAATCAGTTGGGTTTGTTTCCTTTTTTTTTTTTTTTTTTTCAATTTGGGAAATAAAAAGTTATTAGTTGACTTGTGGCAGCACCTCTGTAATCTGTGAAAAGGACAAACTCAGTGAATCTGCTCTTCTATAGTTGAGCATACTCTTCAGATTTGCCTTACTGTATTTTTTTTAGGGTTTGGTTTGAGTCATGGCTTTTGTTTTTTGTTGGGTTTTTTGTTTTGTTTTTTTGTTTTTGTTTTGCTAATCACTGTACATTTAAAAACAAACCCAACAAAACCCCTACCTCCAGTAACATTTGGAAAAGAGCCCCTGTGCAGGAAAACTGGATTTCAAGGAAAGCCTTATTTTGCACAGACCAATTGCACATGGTGATGGACGTTTCTTACCATGGACAAATTATGAGTTGTGTTTGAAGAATAAAGGCTTTTACTGGAGATTGGCCCTGCTGAGTTTTCTGCCTGTAGACACCATTTGTGCTTTTGAGGGGCTTTGTCCCTCTCAGTAAAGAAAACTCGCTTTGAAAATGGTGCCCGAGGCTGTTACTCACAGAACCTGTTGGAATTCAGCATAGAGGCTGAACGTTGTCACCACTGCCTTGTGACATGTCTAAACCTTTTTGTTATCCTGATCCCTCAGGTTTGCCACGTTTTCTGGGCAGCTTTTCAGGAGGTTTCATTCAGAATTAAGGCTTAAATGTTGGTAATGTTAAATCAATCAAAATGGATTTTTCTCACCCACGTTCCAGTGGTCCAGGACGTAGCGACTGCTCTGGCTTGCTTGAACTAAGAAGGCAGATCAGGGAGGTTTTGTACCTTGTTAGCAGCTGTCAAACTTGTATCACAAACTGCAAACTAGGCTATCTAGCGTGTCTGCTGATCTTTAAAAACTGAAAAGCCAGACAGGCAAGTTTTCTGTTCGTTAATATTTAAGCTGTGGGTGTCCTCAGATTCAGAAGCCGACTTAGAAATTAGCTGAGATCGCTTTTCACGAAGGCACTGCCAAAATCATCACTTGTGAGCAAACTTCAAATACAATTCTGTTTGTTTATTGTAAGAAGTCGACGTTGCCATGCAGGTTTTGAAGATGCTGAGCAAAATAGGTGCATGTTTTTTTGGAAGAGGTTCTGATACTGCTGCTGTGTAACACAGTTCGCTGCAGGAGATGCTGAAGCTGTATGTGTTGGTTTGTAATGAAAGGAAACAGACTCATTCATTCTCTGTGTTGCTTGGGATTTGAGTATCAAATGGGAAGTCACCAATTTGCAAAGGGATGAAAATAGGTTTTTCAAAAGAAATCGAGCCATGAAAAGTTGTTTCTCATGTCTATTGCTAAAACACAGTCCTCTTTCCCCTTGACCTTTTGCATTGACAAATCTAAGGAGATGATCACTTCTGTGTTTAAATTTGCCCAAGTGTTGCCATTGGCTGACGTGTCAGTATGGATGTTTGCATTATATTGTTGGGGTTTTTTTAAGAAATGATCAGGTTTATCACCTTCCAGAGAAGTAGGCATAATCTGGTGGGCATTGCATAGTGCACCACACACTGTTTTTCAGGGCACTGCAAGACATTGCTGAAACTGAGTGCTGTTGTTAAAAAAAGAAATGTCAGGTTCTTGTATAAACATTGCAACCTGTATTGGAGTTCAGGTATCAGGTGGGCATCTATGAAAATATCAAGTGTATCTCAAAATACTGGACTGCTGTTTTGAGTGGATTATATTCTTCTGTCCCTTTATCCTTTTTGATGAGAACAAAAGCAGTGGGGTTATGAAATGTACAAGCTGTCTAAATACAATGCAGTCAAATAAATGGTTAAGTTGTTTATTTCCTTTTGAATGGAAATGTTCTAATTATTGTTTTGGTTTGTCTTGAAGATCTGAATGCACAGTTATTTTTTTGAGAGGAAAACGATGGGAAAAATTTTACAAGATAATTGTTTGTTTCTACTTGATTTTCATTCCCATGCCTGTGTCAGAAGCATCTTGAGTAACATTTGTATGAACTTCATTTTTGGAGCTGAACTAGAATGGAGCCTTTTTTCCTATCTATTAAGTTAGGACTAATGTAGTCATCCTGGACTTTCCTGGGAGATAAGGACTGAGGGGTTTTTTAATTATTTCATTGATAATAAGCAAGAGTTGAGAACTACTTGAAGCCCTTGCCAGCCTGAGAACTCTCTCTCTCAAAAGTGGAGCCTATGGATTTTGAAAATCCTTTGGGCTTTGTTCCCTCTACAGTTCCATTTAGTCTCCTAATACTTTCTAAGAATTTGCCAGCAAGTGTTACAATGCCTGCTTGGCCATGTGTTTGCTCAGAGGTGGGCAGGTGACTGAGTTGTAACCAACTTCTGCTGGAAATGTTGGGTGACCTGCCAGGAGCTCTGAGTCTTTTGTTCTTCCAGCTTTTCTGATTTTTATTTTCTTTTTTACTGCTAGGTTATCTGGTAACTCGAGTTTGTTAAGAACTAAGGCTTCACGGACATCTTACCACTTCTTACCCCTCTTCCTATTTGTCCTAGTAGTGGGAACTGTTACTCCTGACTTCAGGAACTGGGTGCTGAGTGTTGCATGGAACTATTTACCTGGTCATGAACCAGAGACAAATGGCCTTGCTCCTTTTTTTTTTTTATTTAATTTTTATTCCTCCATTTCCTCCAACCATTAAATTCTGCACAGGGTAAGGGTTAAATGATTTTTTTGTCCTTGATTTGCACTGCAATGTATTTATAGCCCTAGTATATCTACTTAGTATGCATGGGCTAAGATACATGTGGAGAGGCCTAGTATTTGATTTGAAATGGTAAGAAGTATTTTTCACAGCTAGTCCAGACTATACAGGACTGGTTAGATAGTATTTTTAGGAACTAGTGTTTTATGTGTTGCCCACCAATGCACACTTTAAAACCTGTGACTTATTTAAATGTGTAGTGCGGAGGGATCCTGAGCTGTGCCTCATGCAAGGCAGGGAGAAATACCTGTAGGTCTGCAGGAGGGTTTTTGATAAAGGAGCTTTTCTCCTTCTATTGGTAGGTCTTTCCTAGGAAGGACAGGACTGTGACTGCTCTTCATCATTGTTCTTGGTTGATAAGTTTCAAGGGTAAGTTAAAAAAGTGGAATTCAAAAGAATTTAGAACAGATGAAGTATTGATCTTCTAAACTTGATGTCCTCCACAGGAGGGCAGTCCCCCTGCAGTGGAGGCTGTGGACCCTCTGCCAGGGAGCTGGTGGATGCCTGCAGGTTCTCTGGGTTTGAGGAGACTGAATAAACACTTGTCAGGAGGGCTCTGTTGAGAGGTGCTAAGCAAACAGTACAAGGCTCAGGAAGTTTCCAGTGCTGGAAATACTCAACAGCTGGGAGACCACTGAGCCAAGTGTCACCCACTGTGGAAACTTGCCCCATCCTTCCTTTTCCCAAGACGTATCCTAGTGGCAACTGTCCCTGTATTCCTGTTTTATGGCCAATAATGGAGATGAGAGACTGAACTCGATGGGCTTTTAGTTTAAGCCAGGGTACCGATGCAAGACAGAGCTATAGTACCACAGGGCAGGGACCTGACCAGTTCACAGGAGCTGTTTTCCATCTTTGCAGGGATTAGGGGCTGAAAAGGCTCTTGATTTGTAGACTTTGGGTCCAGGGCTCTGCAGGACAAGTGGTGCTTTTGTTCAGTCATGTTCCTTTGCTCTACTGCTGTGCCAGGAAAATTGCCCTGGGGATAATCTTGAGTTTTCTATGCATTTTCCTACTGGGCCAGGGCTCTTTCCTCCTGCAGGGTCAGAGAGATGAGTGCAACACCCTGTTACAAACTGAAAGTTACAAACTTTCTAACCTTGCATTTTTCTAAAATGCACCTGGTTAAGTGATGGTCAGTTCTTGAAGCTTGCTAGAATCAGATTTCATCTGATCCACTGCTGAAGTACTGTTGTCCTCTTCCTTCCTTCCCTAAGCATCTGATATTTAGAAAACAGCTAAATCAAAGCAACATCTCCCCCCTCTTAACTGCCAGCAAATCCCTATTGATCTTCCATCAGCCACATAAGATAGGAAGAAGGTCCAATCCAGTGTATGATTTATGGTCTGCACATTCTTCTGCCAAAACTCAAGGGCAGGTGGCTGGATGCTTTTGTCCTATGTATTTGTATTACCCATAGGCTTTAGGTTGTCTGCTCCTTTCAGATGATTGAGTAGGAAGTGAGAAGAGATTTTCTTGGTTTTGAAAGAGCTGAGTTGGAACAAGAATTTACTGAAAAGTTTTAATTAGGCTTTTTTCAGAAAAATTAAAGACCCTGGGACACACATGACCCCTCAGGTTCAGATGTTAAATCTCAGTGTTTCACTTGCTTTTAAGAAGGAATCAGAGCGGTTTGGGTTGGGAGGGACCTTACAGATCACCCAGTCCCACCCCCCTGCACAGGCAGGGACACCTCCCACCAGCCCAGGTTGCTCCAAGCCCCATCCAACCTGCCCTTCAACACTGCCAGGGATGGGGCAGCCACAGCTTCTCTGGGCAGCCTGGGCCTGTGAACCATTTCTGCTGGTGATTTCAGATTTAAAGATTTTCTCTCTTTCTCGTGTTAGGAGGCTTCCCAGGGCTGTAGCCCTAAATATCTATGGTATCAGGCCCTTCAGAAAAGGACAGAAGTTATGGAGAATGATTCCCTGAGGTTTTTTGGCCATTGCCTTGCAGGTGTCTGGAACATTTCATTTCCAGATG